CCCTGGTTTCTGCTGTGGGGCAGCATTCTAACAGAATTGCTCTCAGGGCAGGATCTGACCTCATCCAGGTGTGAAAGCAGGGTGTGTGGCTACAGGCATGGCCCCTCCCACCTCCCAGCCCCACCACACATGGGCTCCAGGTCTCCCTGAGGTGTCTGGTGATTCCCGGAGTGGGGGTTGGGTAGGGACTCAACACCCCCAAACTCCAAGACCAACACTCAGCTCTGGAGACCTGGGTACATCTCAGCTCAGTCCTGGGAGAGCCCTTTGAGCCCCCTAACACCCCTCTCCAAAGGGTGGGAGCTCCACCTATAAACAGTAGAGGTCCCTCCCATGCAGTGGGTTACCCTCAAAGCAGGTGGGGCTACAGGATCAATTATACAGCCCCCCTAAAAAGCCAAGTGATCAAGACCTGTACCCCACTCATCCAAAAGTCAGGTGGTTCCAAGACACAGCCCGAGCCTCCCCGCTGCCCCTTTGATTAAAATATGCAGTGATTAGAGGAGGAGTGAGGTAGGGGGCAGGAAGGTGCTGCCCCCAGAGGCTTGGCCAGGTGCCCAGGGTCAGTAGAGACCCCAGCTAGGGCCAGGGCGTCACACCGATTTGGTAGGTTGGCTGTAAACAACAGCTGTCTGCGGTTACATGCAACCAAGTCTGTTGCCTGAGGAATGTGGTATCTCCAGGAAGCCAACAGCCATGGGCCTCAAAGACTGCCGACAGCGCTGCACCAAGGTCCTGCACAGTCCCTCCTCCTGCAAGGTCCAGGTGCCTGGGCTCCGGAGAACAACACACTCAGAGCAATGCGGTCAGCTGCCACCGTTGAGCAGGGCACAGCTGTTTGTGTCCTCAAAATAACATGCCTGCAGGGCAACAGACTTGGTTGTCAAGCAACACGTACCCAGCCCTGGTTCTAGGACCATTACTGAACCACTTTGAACCTTTGATTCAAAGCCCTGCCTAAGACCTTCGGCATGGAGTGGAGGGTAAGTATGAGGAAGCAGGGAGATGAGATGGAAAACCACCACCACCAAACCCAAACTCCCTGACAGCAGGAACTTCAAGGATGAGGACAGAGGAAGGACACTTCCTACGGGCACCTCCATAGAGGTCCGGGGCTAAACAATCACAATGGTGGAGGTGGTCCATAGGCCACTCCCAGACTCACCCAGTCCTCACTGCAACACCCATCTGCACTGTGAGTTAGAGCATCATAACCACCCGCCCTGAACTCCCACACAAGGTGGCAGAAAGTCAGAAGTTTAAGAGGAACTGGGGCTCTTCAAAAACCACCGTTAGAGGATCCAACAGTAGGGAGAAAGCGTTTTTGACTATCACGCATCCGATAGAGGAATATGCAACGTATAATCTGCTTTAAAAAAAAAAAAAATTAAAACAGGCAAAAATATTAAGAGACACTTTACCAAGGAAGATACACAAATGGCAAATAAAAAAGAGATGAAGTCAAAGATCGTTGCTGGTATGTGCTGTCGAGTCGCTCCCAGCTCCCAGCGACCCTGTCTAGGGTTTCAGAGGAGCAGCTGGTGGGACTGAACTACCGACCCTCAGTCTAGTACTTACCCTGCAGTGCCACAGGATGCAAATTAAGACCATAATGAGATGCCAGATGCACCTACTAGAATGGCTAAGAGTTATAAAACCAACCTCACCAAGAGTTGATGAGGTCACACCCGCTGCTGGCAGGATGCAAAATGGTGTTTCAGAAAAGCGATTGGCAGTTTCCTAAAGAATTAAGCCTATCCTTACCCCTAGACTTGCACTGTCACTGTTCTTTCAAGAATAAACGGCAACCTAGTGAGTAAGGAGTTGTTGTTGTTAGGTGCCATCAAGTCAGTACCGACCCATAGCGACCTTATGCACAGCAGAACGAAACACTGCCCGGTCCTGGGCCAACCTCACTATTGTTGCCACACTTGAGTCCATCGATGCAGCCATTTGGCCAATCCATCTTGCTGGGGGTCTTCCTCTTTTTCTCTGACCCTCCACCTTACCAAACATGACATCCTTCTCCAGTGACTGGTCCCTTCTGATAATATGTCCAAAGTATGAGAGATGACGTCTGGCCATCTTGGCCTCCAAGGAGCACTCTGGCTGCATTTCTTCCAACACAGATCTGTTGGTTCTTTTGGCAGCCCATGGCACTTTCAATATTCTCCTCCAACAGCATAACTCAAATGCATCAATTCTTCTATGGTCTTCCTTTATTCACTGTCCAGCTTTCGCATGTATGTGAGGTGATTGAAAATACCATGGCTTGGGTCAGACGCACCTTAGTCCTCAAGCTAACATCTTTGCTCTTCAACACTTTAATGAGGTCTTGTGCAGCAGATATGCCTAATGCAATACGTCATTTGATTTCTTGACTGCTACTTCCATGAGTGTTGATGGTTGATCCAAGAAGAATGAGGTCATTGTAGAGGGCCAGTTAAAATGGGGAGACCCCCAGTGAGATAAAGTGACACAAATGCATCAACACTGGGCTCGACTGTACCAGCCATCATGGAGATAGCAGGGTCCACACACCGTCACCACAGTCTACAGTAGGGCATTTACCCAGGAGAAGAGAACTTATTTGTCTTCTTGTACAGGAATGTTCATAGCGACTTCATTTGTCAGAGCCCAACACTGGAAACAATCCAACAGCCCATTCCTAGGTGAACAATAGACCACACTTTACCAACACAATGGAATCCTGTTCTCAGCTGCCATCTATCACCTCCCATTCCTATCCAGCTATGAAAAGGAGTAAGCAACGTTCTGATCCTCCTCCAAC